GGGGGGGGCTTAGGGATGCATTTGCTCCTGTCTTTTGTTTGAGCCGCTCTTTGAAGAGCACAGCCATATCTGGCTGTCTCTGTACAGGGCCAGGATTTTCTGTGAAATATGAGAAGTACTAAGTAGGAAACAGGAAGAAAAATGCAGGGCTAGAGGAGAAGCGTGAGGGAGCCAAGAGGCAGCCGCGTGACAAGCAGCAGGCATGCACGAGGGAGGCTTGGAGGAGGATGCAGAACAGCTGTGTTTCTGTGGCTAACCCCATGGTAAACCTAGGCTGAGTGGCTTAGGCTGCAGGACACACCGAGAAGTCAGATCTGGGGATTGGTATATTCTCCACCGTTCCCTAGCCTGGGAGCCTCTGTCCCTTCTGCCAAAGTGGGTGAGTTGGGTCAGATGTTACCCAGTGTGACTTGCAGGTCTGCAAGAGTTTGCTGTTGAGCCAGTGAATCATCATCACAGGGCTTGCTGCTGTGGCTCCATGAACATGTACCGAGTGCATATGTGGTGTAATTGAAAAATCAGTGAATATTTAACCTATTTTTTAAAAAATTATCACAGTAAAGGAGATATTGCCATTAATGCCCCTCTCAAAATATTCCCTTTGCTTCTAACACATTTGTCCCACTGTTCTTGCCACTTTCTGAAGTATTCTTAGAAGTCCTTTCTCATGAGTGCCTTTTGTTGCACTTTTGTGGCTGCTTCAGTGTCCTGGATTGATTCAAACCATTTGCCTTTCATGGTCATTTTGACTTTGGGGAAGAGTTTGAAGTTGCATAGTGCCAGTTCTGGTGAATAAGGTGGATGAGGACACTGTAATGTTTCACAAGCCTGCCTTTCCACTGGATGGCACTCAGTAGCAGTATTCACTTTATTCTGAATACACTTTGTAAACACATCCAGAAAAGGAGATGTACAGAACTGTGTCAGAAAGTGGCAGGAATGATGGGGTAAGTGTGTTCGAAGCAAGGGAGACTTTTCAGGGGGATTAATGGCAGTGTGTCTTTTACTGTAAAACGGTTTTAAAATATATTTTGATCACCTTTTGTGTGTCTAGCATGAGGCGCAAAGATGACCCCAGCCCCTGCCCCCACCTCCAGGTGGGGCATGTCTCGAACACTCCCAGTGTTCCCACAGCTCACCCTGACAAATCAGGTGTCATGTACCAGGCAGCTTTACGGCCTCTTCCCCTTGATTTACATCTGTTAGCTCTCAATCTCACCAACAAAAAATTAGGTGTGCCCTGCTGTTCTGTTTATATGGAGGAGGAAACTGAGGCATAGAGAAGTCATGTAATTTGCCCCAGGTTTCACAACTCACAAATGGTAGAGCCAGGATTTCAGTTCAGGAAGTTTTTGTGGTTGCTACATATTTTCTTTGTTTCCATTGCTAGACTGTTAGCTGTCTGAGGGCAGCAACTGTAACTGTCTTGTTAACTGTTTTATTCCTAGTATCAGCCTCATGGATGGGTTCAATCCCCAGCACAACAACAACAAAAGGAAAACTAAAAAATACATATTTTGAAAGAAAGCTCTTGGGGAACTTATTGAATGGATGGATGTGTGGATGGATAAGTTGATGAATGGATGGGCAGACAAATAGGTGCAGGAGATAAATGGAGTCTTCAACGAGCCTAGAGTCTAAAGAGGAAAAGAGACCAATAAAGAAGTAATATCAGCGAGTTTTAGGTAGGAAATATGCTTAGTCCATGAGGGTTGTCAGAAAAGGCATCATCCGACTCTTTGAAGATGCACGGAATTTGACAGAGTCTGGTGTGTCAGCAGAGGGGTCCTTCTGAGTTCACTGTAGCACTGTCAGAGCACAGAGGGCAGGGCAAAGGTTCTTGGGTCTGGGGCAGGCTCAGGAAAGCTTTCCCCGGGGAGGCATTTGACCTTGCTTCTGAGGACAGAAGAGCGTCCCTGAAAGGGCTTGAGCAGGGTTGTGCTTGCGCTGATTTGGATTTCTCCTGAGTATTCTAGCCTCTGTTTGAGAGAGAAGAGGAGCAAGACTGGAGCCAGGAGGGGCATCTACTTCAGTGGACTTGGTGAGAGATCATGGAACCTGAAGTGGGGTATGGCTGAGAAGTGCAGGTGGAGCATGGACTGTGATAGCAGGGCTATGGTTTTTACAGGACAGAGAATCCTGACTGTTGTGATTCCATTGTTTGAGTGGCTACTGTATGTGTGGCGCATACGAGCCCTTTAGATACTTATGCTCATTTGTTCTTCATAAAAATCCTGTGAAGTAATTATTTTTTGATCCCCATTTTAAAGATGAGTAAAATGAGGCAGAGAGGCTAAGTCACTAATTATCCAGGGTCACATGAATTGTGTGATCAGAGGCACTGAAGAGATAAGGCCCTCTAAGTTTTTATTGCTTTTGTCTATTGGAAATCTTGTAGGACCTCTCCTTCATATCCCCCAAATGAATCAGAGGCTGAGAAGTGACAGAAGATGTTGGAACTGTCTTTATAGAGGAAGAAGGGTCAAGGAAAGTGCGTTGCCTACGGGATGAGAGACTGCTCACAGGCATAGAGCAAGATCGGATCAGAGGGAGATTTTAAAAATACAGGCAGGAGGGGATTGAGGATGTTGGGACATGTGTGAGACAGAACCAGAAGCACTAAGGAAAGGGACTGGAAGACAAAGGCAGAGCTTTATTCAGAACAGGGGTGGGGTGCTGTATGATGACTCCATGAATATGAAACACCCAGCATGGGGAAATCTACAGAGATGGGAGGCGTGATAGTGTTTCCCAGAATCTGGGGATGAAGGGTAAAGAGGAATGGCTAATAGGGCCTCTTTTTATGGTGATAGAAATATTTTGAAACTAAGCAGACATGATGATTATGCAACATAGTGAATATACTAGATAGAGATCTCTCCGTGGTCTCATGGATGCTAGGCACATGCTGAGCTCCACCCCCAGGTCTGAATTGTACATTGTTAATTCCATGTTACATGAATTTCACCTCAAATAAAAAAAAATGGAGGCAGCAGAAGTGGGTTGAGAGTGATGTAGGTCCCTTCTCTGCCCAGCTTGCCCCCTAATACATAAGCAGCCTTCCTTTTCTGGTTATCTCAGCTCCTGGGTTCTGTTTCAACAGGCCACTGACCTGCTCTCCCATGTGACATTGCTCCCAAGCATCCACCCCTTTGACCAGTAGCCTCAAAACTATTTTCATATATCCCATCAGCCAACAAAAGCATGTTCCCCTGAAATATGTACATTTATTTTAAAATAAAAACATTTTCTTGCTTACTAGACTGGAAAGCAGTGAGATTCGGTTCTGGTCTGTCTAGTATGGTTGATGCATTATGAGTGCTCAGTAAATTTTGGAATAAGTTGAAGTAACAGTTGAGTGGATGGATGAGGTAGATCTGTAGAGGGGCAAAGCACCTGGCTGAAGATGAATGGAAATGGAGCTGGTTGAGGGCAAGAAAAAGCCTAAGTTGTTCTTATGCCTAAAGACCTGTCCAAGACTAACACAGGAAGTAACTGGTAACACAGTTTGTGTGGTTACTGTGTATTTGTGCACTTATTTTTTTCTTGGATCTGTGGAACAGCCTGGATGTAGAAGAGAAGGTGGACTGTGAAATGGAGCCACAATTTGTTGTTGAAAGGTGGGGACGTTGTGGGGGTGACCATAGTGGTGACACAGGAATCAGGGGTGGATAAGGCATTGGTAATTCTGGGAGCTAAAGGGATCTGGGAAGGAGAGGTTGTGGATGGTGAGAAAATGGAAAGAAGTGATTCCAGGACTCTTAGGAGTGAGGAGCAGTCCATCAGCATTTGGAGTGGGAACAATGAACTGGGACCAGGTATGTTGCCCATGTGGCTTGGGTACAGGGGAGGTAAGCCAGGGCTCCAACAGCTGCAGTGCTGCAAGTCTGGGGCAGTGTCAGTCCCACAGTCTGATGTCCAACTTAACTCTTTAGGGGAATGGGGAAAAATAAATGTCTTAGGCTTCACTTTGGTATTTACAAGCTGGCAGTAGTATGGTTTTATTTTCAAATAAATATACATATATCAGGGGAACATGCTTATTTTTGATAGGATATTTGAAAATGGTTTTTAGGCCACTGGTTTGGCAAGTTGGATGGGTCCTTATGATCACTGTCACATGGGAGACCAGGTCCCATGGCTTATTGAAACAGAAGCCCTGTGTCGCCACACCTTCTCCTGGTTGACTGCCTGAAGGGCCTTCCAGAAAGGGTATGCCTCAGTACGCCTGACTCATTCAGATGCATTCTGTGTGCAGACCACCTGTGAAATGGTGACTACTCCTTGTGGAACATGAATATTCACTGTTCATAGTTTCCAGAATCCGCCCTCACCACCTTAATTTTTTTAAATTGAGCTATTCCGCCCTGACATACACACTTCTTGGATATTCAGTGATGATTTTCCCTAATTCCCAAGAGATTATGACCTAGGAAAGTTTTGTTTTGTTTTTTTCATTAAGGACCTAGGATGCATTTCCTGAGCCTTGGAATTTGACCTGAAAATAACAAGATCTTAGTGGTGAGGGACAGGATGACCTGCCCTCCAATTCTGACTCTATTGGGACTAGCAAGTGTGCTCCTAGGCAAGTTGCTTAACCTCTCTGACTTCTGCTTTCATTTTTAAGACCAGAAAGTTGATTTGTCTATATGATAAGGTTGTGGGAAAATGTAGAGGAGTTGATGATACTTGGGTAAGTCTGTTAAATTTAATAGGACTTAATAAATGTCAGTTCTTTCTCATTCTTGACACACCCCCACCTCAAGGGTTAACTGATTGTGACAGTTTTGAGTAAGAAACACCCAGCTAATTTGGGTCAGCATAGTTCTGGGTGTGGCTGAAGGGATTTACTGAAAACAGAAGACCCACTCTGGGTGTGAGTGGCATCAGCCAATAGGCTTGTAGCCTGGATGGAATAAAAGGGAAGTGGAGAAGGAAGGCTCCCTTGTGTTTCCTCAGATGTGCTCCAGTCTTCACCGTGGATGTCATTTCTTGGTTTGCAGCACAGACTCTTTGGCCTCCTGGTTTGGACTTGCAAGGGTTGCTACAGTGAGCTCCAGGCTTTCAGCCTGTGACTACATCCTCCAGATCTCCAGCATGCAGACAGCCCTTGTGTACTTTTCCATACCTGGCTCCTGACTCTGCAGGTGGCTATTGTAAGTCTACCTTGTAATTCCTTTTATATTTATATATTTTGCATTAAATCTGTTTCCCCAATGAACACTGACTAATATACCCACCTTACCCCATTTTCTCTATGCTTTCCTCTTGTGCATTTCCTCCCTGGTGGAAAAGATGGTTTGAAAACAAAGACTGCTCTGCTGAGACTTACTGTTAGACCGGTTAAAGGTGACCCTGAAGTCCATTAGCCTAGTCTTTTCCATGTAACGTCACATTGCTGGGTTCCTTTCTCCACTTTACCCCATTAAGGAGAGTTTTAGGTATTTTGGATAATTTTGGTTTATACAAGGAGAAATTTGGCACATGTTGTCGAGTTTGCTTAATGTCAAAACAACGCATTAATGATGTACTTCTCCCACCTCCATTAATGAGGAACTTATTTCATAGGGGTAGAAAACAATACTGCCATCCCACTCCTTCCTTCCTCATTTCATTTATCAAATTGAAAGAAATGAGTTCTGAGAACATTTAGAATCAAAATATTTGAGCAGGGTCATTTCAAAAGCCTCCCAGTAATTATGAATGAGCGCCTTCCTGTTGAAGGATGCTGTTATTGCCCTCTCTAATGGACTTGAGCTGGCATTGGGAACTTCCTCAATTCATTTGCAATATTCCATGGCCCGGCCCAGCACCTCTTGGATTGTTGGGCACTAGTGTCAGCAGCTGGGTTTCTCTCACCTCTGTGGACTGACCACCATAGGCCTGTGTAGATAACCATTCTCTGTTTGTTTCATTGAGACAGTGTTACTTCATGAATGGAATCATTTTTTGTTGTTGTTGTTGTATCTTTAAGACAGGGTCTTGCTATGTAACTAGGCTGACCTCGAACTTGCTGCAATTCTCCTGCCTCAGTCTCCCAAGTGGTGAAATTACAAGTGTATGTCACCACACCTGGCATGAATGGAATAAATTTAAAAAGTCATTCCAGGACTGGAGATTTAGTGGTGCCATGCTTGCCTTGCAAGGGTGAGGTCCTGAGTTTGATCCCCAGTACCAAAGGGGGAAAAAAAAAGTCATTTCAAAGTCATTAGGAAAGTTTGGCTATGAAGAAAAATAGGCCTTTGAGTTGTTTAGCTCAACCCGTTGTTAGGATAAATGGGTATGGTGCCTCTTCCTCATCCTGGGAGAATATAGTATAGTATAATCTAGTAAAAAATATGGACTGGAAGAGAGGGAAAGGAAAGAGGTGAAAAAAATTAAGATGTATCATGTACACATACCAGCTTCCCATAAGGAATGTAAACATGTATTTACATGTATACTACACTTGATCTTAGACAGAAGGCCAAGAAGCGATCCACATGTACTAATAAACTAACATTATTTTAAATGCCTTTTAAGTTATAACTAGAATTTCAATTCATATCTAAATGTAGTTTTAAAATCTCCTAGATGTCTCTATTTCTTTTTTTCCTGAGAGAATAATTTTGTATCCTTAAGCTTTTTTTAAAAAAATTTATTGGTAGTTTTTAGGTATATAGTACAATTACATTCATCATTGGGATCTTGCACTTTTACTTGATGTGCCTTGGTTCTTATTTTTCCCCATTCTTCTGCCCTCTCCTCAACCCTTCCACCCTTCCCTATTTACAAAGACTTTGTTTCCTTTTTTCCTTTTCCCTTAAGCTTTTTAGGTGCTGGGGATTGAACCTGGTCTCTTCATACTAAGTTTATTTATTTATTTATTTATTTTCTATTTTGAGACAAGATGTTGCTAAGTCACTTAAGATGCCTAGCTCAGGCTGGGTTTGAATTTGTGATCCTCCTGTCTCTGTCTCCCAGAGTGCTTGGATTATAGGATTACAGGCATGTACCATCATGCCCAGTCCAAAATTCTTAATAATTTGTTTCTTGAATAGTAAGACGGGGTAATAGATGTGTTAGAGTAATTTAAGAACCTAGTGCTGTACCCAGAGTACACGTAGCCAATCAATGCATAATAAATACTATTTTAAATTCAGATTAAAGAAACAAAATGTGTTCAGGTTCTATGCGTCAGCATAGTACTATATGAAAAGGAGCCTATTGATTAAACACTTAGAAAATTTCAAAAAGCCCCCCCTTTTAAGTCTTAAGATATTGGCTGTCATGTGATGGATGTCTTGAGGCAGAGAAAACGAGTCTTTAATGGAAGAAAAGGAATCTTTTCACATGATCTGGCAACTGAAAAATATTGCTCTAATTAAAATATATAATGTAGTTAACTTTCAGGAAATGTTCATTTTTCATGTCTTGAAAAGCTTTACAGAGTGACAGTGTACTCAAACAGCATACGGGAAATTAGTACACGATAGAGCTGAAGCTATTGGTTTTTGCTGCTGTTGTTTCATTTTTGTTTTTCCTTCCTTTCTGCCTGAGGTCTTGTACCTGGTGGTAGAATCGATGCTGGGATGAGCAAGTCCTGTAACTCCATTTTCCCTCTCTTTTGCTCCTCCAGTCTCTCCTCCTATACCTGAAAGACTTTAAGGACGGGGAAAAGAATTCCATCTTTATATGTGTGTGTGTGTGTGTGTGTGTGTATGTGTATGTATA